TTTTCGTTTTTGACCAGACATGTGCGTTAAACCTGGTGAAAAAGCTTAGGTTAAAATCCGTCCAACGTTGCAAAATATTTTGTTAAATACACTCAACAACTTAAAGTATTTTGCAGTACATTTATCATCTTGAGATATTTTTTCTAGTACATCCAACATTATAAAATATTGTGATATAATTTTTTACAGGATTAATTTTTTCAGAAACAATTATGCTTTTAAAGTATTATTTTATAAACAGTTCTAATTTCATCATTAACTCAAAAGGTATGTTAGATGAATGTATATTAAACACCATAAAGTATTTTTTTAATATTTTTTTAAAACCCTGAATGCACTTAAAAAAATACTTTAGGATGTTAAATAACCACAAAATATTTTAAAATATTAAACATATCTGAAAAAATACTTTAAAGTACTTGATGCACCATAAAATACTTTAAAATATTAGACGCAGCTAACAAAAATACTTCAAAATGTTGCACAATCCTTAACCCAAAAAGCTTTCATATGCGGCTTAATTCTCTCACCAACCTTATATAAAATGCAAATAACTGAATTAGATAAATCCAAAAATTAGTTAAAAAATAAATGTCAAAAATGTTTTTTTTTTGGGGGAAAAAATACCTTATTTACAGAAAAATAGGGAAGTGATCTTGGTTCATATAGTGATATTGCATGTAATCAATAAACGCAAAAATGAAGCAAGCTAGTTAAAACATGTAACCAATAAAAGCAAAAATTAAGGAAGTTAGTTAAAATGCAGACATCCTTTAGGTATATCTCATAAATATGATCACGCTTACCTCAAAAACTGTTTTACGGACGTAGCAGCTATGAATTACCATTGACAAATGGATAAAATAAAACTAGGTAGAGGATTGATCAATGGCGGTCATCAAAAAGAAGAAATTAGTCATGATATTATGGGTTGAGAAACCAAAATGAGCAATCAAGTTCCAATACATATTTACATAATTATACATATAAACGGCTCCGAAGCTTTAAATGTTCTCGAAAAAAATTTTCCGCATGAGATGGGTCCTATCGAACTCACGAAGGCACTTTTGATTGGAGACGTCGATCCAGCCACAATCAGCTCTAACAACAAAAACACATTGATCAGCCAAACTGGGGATGATGGTCCGCCTACTACACATGAAAGTCAAATAGTTTGCAAAAATTTCGAGTAAGTAATTTACAAACAAAAATTGAAAGACAGAAATTGCACAAGATAACACCAAGAGCATCCTATTAGCTGCCAAGATTCACATGAAAGGAGGTAAGAATACGTCTGCACCAAAGTTAAGCAAACGAAAAAGATCCAAGTAGCTAGGGCATGACTCAAATTTATGAAGTATATACATACACATCTAGGGTATTATCTGGGCAAAAACATTCTTTTACTCTCATGTCTTTTAATCAATGATCATAACCAAGTTAAAAACGAAATATGATTGGTGACTTGAAAATGACACTTTTTATATATTCATTGTCTCCAACTAATGTCAACTGTCCTTTTTATCAATGCAGTTCGGTTAATCATCTTTTATAATAAAAAACGGAGGAAGTACCTAATAGAAATAGATCTCCCGATGCATCTCTCAGATTATCAACAAGCGAAGAAGCTGAAAAAATGACTGGCTCAATTCAAACTTGAAAGATAAGTATTTTTAGCAGAGACAAATTTTGATATAATTAATTTCCCATCATAAGCCAGTCGTGGGAGATGAGAGCAGAGAGATCTAAAGTATACCAGTCCCGAATAGGATTAAGTCAGAATTTTGACTGACAAACAGGTTGAACTAGAATTAGAGTGTCTTATGAAGACAATAGGATGGATGTTATGAAACATCATAGACTAGCAGGACTATTTACTTCCTAAGGTCTGCTGCCCAAACCAAGAACCATTATTATGAAGCTAAGCTCAAAATAAACTGATAGTTTTGTAATATGCATCAGAAGAAAGCAACAAGAAAGATCTTATGCTACCAGAGAATTCAGGAGATAAAATATTCCTAGATTTCATTGTGATAACAAACAGAGGCAAGCACTTCACCTGGCAGTGCCATCGTGGCAGTGTCATGCAAATATATCATTCTTGGCCAGAACTGAAGAGAAATAAAAGAATGCACTATCAACATATGAAGCACCATTCTAAGAGAAATAGAGAATTAGATATCCCAACAAAGTTTCTATATCATTCAAAATTCAGCAGGAAAGTGTTCAGATTGTAAGGGGAACAAATATACAATCTTGTGGGGTTAAATATAATTTGCAATTAAATCATTTCTTTCAAAAGGAAAAGCAATTCAGAAATTTAATTCATGCAAAAGAAGCATTGCTGATGCTGCAGATATTCCTTAACAACCACTACACACGATATCATATGCTATCCTTAATGTACAGCAACTGCTACTTAGAAGTTAGAAGTTGCAAACTAAACATAGCAAAGAAATCAATAGCATTCTACTAACTCGACAACAAGTTGCATTGTTGTCAACTGCTGTGGCATGTAAATATAAAAATAGAAGCAAACATATCATCCCCGGGTGCAATTTTCTCTAAAGTGAGGGGATGCATTTGCACACCTCACTTATGCGTAGCTTGCAACCAACCAAACCCATTTGTTAAATGTTCTCGAATAAACCTTTCTGCATGAGATGGGTACTTATTCCTAATGTACTCATGAAGGCATTTCCGATAGGAGAAGTCAATCTGGCTACCGTTAGTTCTTACAACAAAAAGACACTTTGAGTGGCTAAACACGGGATGACGTCCAACCTGGAACATGAGAAGCCCAATATTCAGCAAAAATCTACAGCAGGCAATTTACAAACAATAAGAATTGAAAGAGAGCATTAGTAAGTCTCTTGAAAAGAATGCATTAGACAGCACCAAGATTATCCTATCTCATCAGAATCACGTCTATATCATTAACTACATTGCTATTTAGTAATATACGCAAGAAATGGTTCTGCACCAAAGAAAATCAAATAAGGATGATCCACCTAATTAGGGATAGCGGGACTTGAACTTATGAAGTACTCCTTTGGTCCTATTTATAGGGATTTTTTTGGTCCCATTTATAGGGCACTTAGAGAAATTTTTTATATAGATATACAATTTTACCCTTAATTTATTGTTATGTTGACTTTGTTTACATTAGGAATAATATATATTAAATATGGATAAAGTTGGAAAGGTGTTGAATTTTAAATGAAAGTTAATGAAATTTAAAGTTTTTCTTAGTCTGTATGAAATATGTTGAAAGTGACTTATAAATAGGATTAGAGGAGTATATACTTATGCATCTTGGGTCTTTTCTAGGAAGGAATATACTCTCACTCTCATGTCATTTAATCAAATGTCATAACTAAGACTTACGAACAAAATATGATTGGTAACCCAAAAATGACCAGATTCGAAAGTATGGGTAAGCAAGAATATCTTCATGTTCATACTATTCCAGCACAGAGAATTTACTTTACACAATGTATTCATGAACAGCACAGTATATCAATGCATTGATGTGATAGCAAGGTGAGCCAGATAAAGTCAAAGATAAATTGCTGCCCAAGACAGAACTAAAATAGGTAAAACCAACATACCCTTTACTTATGGCAATGCATTTCAGGAAGCACAAGCTAGCATTTCAAACATTTTGTTTGGTTCCACTGAAGAGGAGGAAAATAAGAGTGCAGCTACTTATATCGGCTGATTAAATTGTAATATGGCAAGATAGTGATTTTACATTCATCTTTAAACATTTTGTCTAGTATAAGTGTTGAACAAGAATTATAGAGGATCACAAAAAAGGTTTTCTTGAGCTGTCAATTCATCACATGTAATTGGCAGGAAAATAATGCTTAATAAAAATAAGTCACTAAAAGTGTCTCTTGTAGGTTATCAGCAGCCAAAGAAGCTTAAAAAAATGACTGGATTTAATTGAAAATGAGAGGATTTTCAACAGATCCATAATTTGATATGGTTTTCTGTCACAAGCAATTGGACCTAGTAGCGTAACAAAGGAGTAACAGACCCAAAACCAACAGTATTCCAGTCCCTAATAGAATTGTCAGAATTTCGACCCAAAATGAGGAAGTTATCAATGTTGACTAGTTCTGAGAACTGTTTTAAGATTTAATTTCCATGTGGCTGGTTGCTTTAATTAGATTCTTGTTCTAATGAGGCTGGATATTCACGTGGGTGGATGCTTTGCTTAGAATGTGTTTGTTGTAATATCATGTGGCTGGTTAAATGTGGTTCAGTCTTGAATGCTACGTGGCTGTTATGGATATAATGTTCTTTGCTGTTAAATTAGATTCTTATTCCTTATTTCCCTTTGCTACTATTATGTCCTCCCTGTCAATCATCAAGAAACTCAAGCCTTCTCCATTTTAATGTAGCCGGAACTTCCATGTGGCTGCACATGTCCACTTGTGTTGACAATTGTTGTCATTTTGCTGTCGGATTGATGCGTGCCTCTTCCATTTTCTAAGTTTCAGAATTGGCTTCTCCTTTGCAGGTGTATATTCTATGACTCTAGCAAGTGCGAATGTGATGATACATTATATAGTTTCTATGTTTCAATCTTAACTTTTCAAGTATCAGAATTTGCATCGCTGTGGTTTAAGTATGTGATATGGTATATTTGAGGCAAAGGAATTTTTTTTTTTTTGGTTGGATTTAATTTTTGGTTTTGGGGGGGGGGGGGGTTAACAGCTGGTCTGATGGTGAAGCCCAGCACACTGGACCAGCCACAGATTAGAATGTCCAGCCCAATCATATTTCCACATTACTAACCCATTCTAGCAATCCACACCAGGAAAACATACAAATAATTTGCAATTATATTGTTTCCAATGAAAAGCAATGCTCATACAAAAGAAGCATGTTAATCCCGCATATTCCTTTACAAGCATACCTTGCAGATGCAAAAAAAAACAAGATAAATAAATTGATAGCAACACTACCATGAAATCAAGATAGTTATGAGGTCAAATAAAGAACAAAGTTGTTGAAGAAGCCATACTGGTAAATACTCCAAAGACGCAGCACATGTTAATGTGAACAAATGATGGAGACACAGAATTTATCACAGAAAAATTGTATCTGCGTACAGAGTCTCACAGGCAGGCAGGCATTGTTTTCAGCAGTTATTATAGAGGATTTGATGCTCTCACAGCAATGTCATGCTTGTCTGTCCATATATTTATCAGATCTTCTGCTGAGGATAGCCAAATCATGATTTTACTCTTCCCTTCATCAAATGTGGTCCAGTTAGTTTGGTCACACAGTAAGGTATAAAAGAACTTTACCCTACATATGTAAATAGATCTCTATCACTCAATCAAGAGAGCTCAGAGGCAAATGATACTATAATGTTTAGTTCCCTGTCAAGAGCCAATTAGTCTCATAAGGAATTTCCTAAAAGAGAATATTAACTTTGGATCTTGCGTCTCCTTTCTCTCACAAGAGCGGGAGAGTCTCTTCTCTTCTTCTTTCTGTTATCTTCCATGGCTACTGCTTCCTTGTACTGGTTATGTTACGCAACTATGAGTGCCTATTACGACAATATGTTCAGCATTATTCCATATTTCTCGTGCATTTAGTTTGATCATATGCGGATAGTACTCGAAAATGTGTTTCGGATTCTCAGCGGCAATACGACGAGCAGTTGGAGTACAACAAGCAGTAACAAATTTCATATAATGAATAAGGGTCAGAAACCGACCTTCCTGAGAACAGGATATCCTTCGCAAGCCCAACGATGGGATCAATGTCCTTGACGATCTCCTTTGCCTTCTCCTTCCATTCATCATCAGCGAGGACATCCGGTAGCTTGGAGATTTGAGCAGCATCGCTTGCTTTCTCATCTGTTTGTCCCGACAGCGGGACGGTGGGGCCACTGCAGAATAAGTGGTGAGGAGTCACATGCACGGAGATTCCCGCTACAAAAGGGCGAAAGTTTTGGAGCCGAAAGCGACGAAGCAGAACGTCTCGAAGTAGAGGACCAGCCATTTCACATCTGCTGGTCGCGCGATACTGACGGAAATGATAATTATGAGTGTGTTAGGATTTGGTGGTTCTAACTCTGATGGCAAATCAGTGGACGCTCTTGGCAGAGGCAGGAACTAGGAAGCAGGAACTACGAATATACGGGGATGAAGGCCTGTTTGGTTGGGGTCTTTCGAGGGAAGAGAGAAGGAAGTATCAACTGTGTTTGTTGTGGATAAAATGAGGAGAGGAGCGGGAAAATTTTTTATTTTCCGCTTCTCTCGCTCTCCCCTGTTTTGCCCTTTTTATGGGGATAAAAAAGTTTAGAAAAAATTAATTAAAAAATAAGTTTTACAAATTTTATTTTGAAAATTATCATTATACATTCTTTAAATTGTTTATAATTTTTTTCTATTATTTTTTTTTGTTTGATTATAATTTTTACCAAAACGTAATATAATACTTATTAATTTTATTTTTAATCCTAAATATAAAATCTTAATTATTTTATTTTTATATTTATTTATTTTTTTAAGATAAATAAAATGATAATTTTAAACCAATAAATTTAATTTAAAAAAGATATTTAAAAAAAAACGATATCTATTTGCTATAAATAAATAATTTAGTTAATTTTTTAATCCACGTATCGTACTCATGTTCAGACTGAATACCGATGCCAGCTTATTAATATTCCGATCTTCATCTTCAGCCTGAAGGCTTTTTTTTTTTTTTGAGAGGAATCAGAGTTTCTTCATCATATAGTCAAGCAACTGAATCGAGAGCAAAATTCCAATAGACATTGTTGATTAGAGTTCAACAAATCCATAGCAGATATCCAAACGGCGAACAATACCCAATTCAGACATGATTTACAATGCTAGCAAATAATACACTAGAAAACCCTAAGCAAAAGGGAAATCAACCACCGAAACCAAAGAGTCCTGCCCTGCCTCTAAAGTGCGTAGACGATATCGATGGCAGTGACCGTCTTCCTCCGAGCGTGCTCAGTGTAAGTAACAGCATTGCGAATCACGTTCTCGAGGAAAATCTTCAACACACCACGAGTTTCCTCGTAGATGAGACCGCTAATCCTCTTGACGCCTCCTCTTCTTTTTATTTTTTTTCTTGGTGAAATTGACGCCTCCTTTCTGGCCAAACGACGAATCGCCGGCTTCGTGATACCCTGAAAATTGTCACGCAGCACTTTCCTGTGCCTCTTGGCTCTCCTTTTCCCAGTCCCTTTCCTCCTTCGCCACGACCCGACATCTTTCACTCCCAAATACTCTAACTCTCAGGAACGATATTTGCTAGGACCTTCGAAACGCGGTAGCCCTGAAAACTTTTTTCTCCCCATCGTTCTCTCAGCAGCTCTATTCCGCTCGGTTTGCCATTTTTATCATTTTGTGCTTTTGCACTTCTCCTGCCTCTTCCCCTGTTTTTCCCCCTCCCCTCTTTCTTCCCTTTATGAGGTAAAAAAATGTTTTAAAAAATTAAGTTCTCTTCAGCCGCTCTGCTCCGCTCGGTTTGCCGTTTTTGCTTCGCATCTCCTCCTCCAGCAGCCGCCGCCTACGACACTATCTCCTCCAGCAGCTCCTGACACCTACTCCTCAAGCCGCTTCCGCCACCTGCTCCTCTAGCCGTCGCTGGCGCCTTCTTTCAGTTAAGTGGCTGTTCTTCATTCTTGTTCTTCATGTTATGGCTTCATTCGGTCCTTACTGTGAGTGCTGAGAAATTATATAATCTGATTTAAAAACTCGTATATTCAAAGTAGTGTATTTTGGTGTGATGAAATTGTTAAAAATGAGGTTTCGGAGGAAGCTCTTTGCGGGCAAAGTAGTCATTTTCTATGCTCCAAATTGGCTTTTGATCAATCATATGACATTTTGGAACTGGCTGGGGGCAATTCCTCTCCTTGAATCCAAAAGGCAACGAAAAAAATTCACTTGCTATGCTATCATTTGTCTCAGTGGTAGTCCTCTAAAAAAATTCTGCTGAATAAGAAAGAAGGTTTCCCACTTTCCCCAGCGGTTTTCCTTCCCTCTTGCGTTTGAGCATCTGTGGCATGGATCACTTCTTCTGGACTTCATGAATCACGACATGAGATTGGGATTTACTGCTCCAAGGCTTTGTTTTTATCCTCCTCTATCTCTAAATCTGTTCCATCTGATATTATATGGGAGGACACCTTACATGACCTTTTTTTGTCTAGGAAAGTAGGTGTTTACTTTATTCCTTGTAGGTTCTTTTTATTTTCAGTCTATTCTCGTTTTGTAACCTCTGTAAACGTTTTATCTTTTGGTAATGCATTTTATCTTTTTATGAAAAAAATTTATTATAATCCTTAATGTAAGATTTATTTAACTAATTTAATTAGATTAAAAAGTTGGGAAAATTGCAAATAAAGACCGTGGAATATATAAAATCGCAATTTGGGTCTTTGAATTTATATAATTGCTGTCAGAGACCCGGTCCCAAATAAGAATTATGAAATGTTAGGTAAAAGACAAAAACGCCTTCTGCTTCTCCTTGTCTTTTTTCACTCTATCATATCCTTCTCTTTCCTTTTATTTCCCCTCGATCCTTCTCTCCGTGTTTCTTTTTCCTCCTCCTATCTCATTCTCCTTCCTTCTCCTTATTCTCCAGTCCCACTTCCTTGTCCTTAACCCCATCTCTCCCAACTTCTCTCATTTCTCTTTTCCCTCTGTCATCTTTTTGTTCCTTTTCCAAAGCAAGTGAATAACAGGACTTAGAAGAATGATGCCCAAGGGAAACAATAATTAAGCTCAACAAGACTCCCGTTAAGATTTGTTGAAACCTAGCTTCAGGAAGGAATTGAGTTCCAGTTTGTCACCGAGTTCTGCGTTGAAGTCGAAGATGGTTTGCAGCGACGACGGCAAGTGTGTGATGATTGCTTGGTGTTCAGACAACGCCCAACAAATCTGGATTTTTTATTCTTCATTTCTATTTTAATTTTCAGCTTCTGTTCATAATTGAAAATAACAAGTTTGATAAGTTGTTGAAAATAACAAGTTGACAAGTTCTGATATCCAATTCACGACAAGTTCAGTAATACGAATAACAAGTTTAGGAAGGAAAATAACAACTTCTGATAAGCAATTCATAGAAATCAAGTTTCTGTGTTTAAGATGACAGCATTTTCAGATTTTTTAGTTAGATGACAAGTTCTGATACATAATTCATGACAGTTCAATAAGGCGAATGACAAGTTTAGTAAGGCGAATGACAACTTCTGATAAGCAATTCATAGAAATTTGAGTTTCTCTGTTTTTTAAATGACAGGTTCCCATTAGGTTTTCATACTTTTTCTGTTTAAATAACTGAATTTCCACATTGATTTATGAAAATGACAGGTTCACAAGAGAAAATGATAAGTTTCCATAAGATTTTCATACTTTTTTTCCCTAGAAATACAGTTTGTACATTTTTGACAGCAACCACTTTGATAAACACGGAATGACAAGTTCACAATAAAAAATGACAAGTTAAGTATGACAAATGACAAGTTCCTATAACGTTTTCATACATTTTCATACTTTTCTGCTGGATGAATACAATTTGCACATTTCTGCATCAGCACCAACTTCTGATAATTGCAAAAAAGCTCTAAATTGTGGAAATCAAATATGATGATTGTATTTCGGTGGATAAATCGATCAAGGTGTGGGATGTGAGAAACAAACGAGCCTTAAATACAGTGCTAAATGAATAAAGTTCTCACCTTATATGTAGAATTTGATGGTTTCTTGTTCATATGATATGACAATTTACATTTGGAAATTTCATGGTTGAGGATGCACTTGTGAGTGGATATGATCATCATAGTGCATTTGCCGTTGGTGTTGATATAAGCATGCTTCTTGAGGGGCTTATGAGAGTTCTGGTGCTATAATTTTATACATTAGGAGGAAATGAGAGGTGAAATTGATGATAAAGATGTTAATAAGAAGTGGTTACTGTCAGAAATCTAACACATTGTTATTTCAACAAAAAATTTACAATTGTATAAAAACGTGATGGGACTTGTCATTTTACATACTTAATTATCATTCGCTATTATGGGCTTGTAATTACTGTTTATTAGAAGTGTTTGTTGTCAGAAATCTGCACATTGTTATTTAACAGAAAAATGTACAATTGTATGGAAACGTTATGGAACTCGTCATTTTACATACTTAACTTGTCATTCGCTATTGTAGACTTGTCATTTACTGTTTATCAGAAGTGGTTGCTATCAGCAATGTGTAAATTGTGATCCTAGCAGAAAAGGTATGAAAATGTATGAAAACTGTCATTTGCCATACTTAACTGGTTATTTTCCATTATGAACTTGTTATTTCGTGTTTATCAAAAGTGGGTGCTGTTAGAAATGTGCAAATTATAATTTCAACAGAAAAGTATGAAAATGTATGAAAACATTATGGGAACTTGTCATTTGCCATATTAACTTGTCATTTTTCATTATAAACTTGTCATTTCATATTTATCAGAAGTTGTTCCGTCAGAAATATGCAAATTGCAATTCCAGCCAAAAACAGTATGAAAATGTATGAAAATCTTTATGGAAACTTGTCATTCTATTGTAAACCTGTCATTTGATAATCAATGTGAAAATCCAATCATTTTAACAGAAAAAAGTATGAAACCTAATGAGAAACTATCATTTAACACAGAAACTCAAATTTCTATGAATTGCTTATCAGAAGTTGTCATTCGCCTTACTAAACTTGTCATTCGCCTACTGAACTTGTCATGAATTATGTATCAGAACTTGTGATCTGCTAAAGAAATCTGAAAAAGCTGTCATCTTAACTAACACAGAAACTCGAATTTCTATGAATTGCCTTATCAGAAGTTGTTATTTGCCTTCCTAAACTTTGGTATTCGCATTACTGAACTTGTCGTGAAGGGGTATCAGAATTGTCAATTTGTTATTTTCAACAACTTATCACTTGGTTCAGTCATCATTTTCATATTACTGTCAAAACAAACAAGAAATTGCATTGACTTTTATAAGATTCAAAGTCTAAAATGCTTTCTAAGATTCTAGCATAGCATCTATCAACGTAAAAACAAGATAAGAAGCACCTCAAAGAGAGTCTTTAGCTCAGAATCTTAAACAATGCTGTTATATTTCTAACAAAAATTTGTTCTAGAAGAATGTTCAACAAAAGAAAGTTCCCTTTAAAAAGTCCGAAGCAACTAGGATCTTTATCTGGACCATTGGCCCCTTTTCCTATAGTTAGATGTCATCGCCTTCCAGCTCCATACCTCGCCACTGCCAAACAGATCAAAATCTTCCAGGTTATCACCAGTTTTGGTAAATATTGAACTCGAGTCATCAAAACACCAGAAGATGGACCGTCTTCATCAAGAAGGAGATTTCTAATGGTGTTAGCTCAATTTCTTCAAGAGATTGTATGGTTCATCATCAAGAAGAGGGAGACGAGTCAGAGTGAAGAAAAGAGGAGACGACTTGGAAAGTGAAGAAAGAAAGAAAGTTAGGGCATGTAGACAAGGGACTGCCAAAAAACAGAAGGGCGTTTTTGTCTTTTACCTAACATTTCATATTCTTATTTGGGACCGGGTCTCTGACAGCAATTATATAAAATTAAGGACCCAAATTGCGATTTATTTTTATATTCCACGGTCTTTATTTGCAATTTTCCCTAAAAAGTTAGGTAACTTAATTAATTATGAGAATATGACATTTTTTTTTTTTTCCCTAAACATCATAACATTTTTCTTAGTATCTTCTCTTTATCTCCTAGTTGATATAGTTGAAAAAGTATCATATGAATAATTTAAAAAAATTGATGATAATATATAAGAAACAAAATCAACTTAACCAATTAAGTTATATATTAAGGATCAGATAAGTATTGTTTATAATCTGTTAGTTAACTTGGCTGTATACTTGGTAGGTGATACAAAGGTTGTTTGTATGATTTCATATGCCACGAGTTTTGATTCATTTTGATTGGGAGTTTAGTGACAAGTAAGTCATTTTGCTCTTTTGATTTAGTAAAGAATCAGCATCTTGATTGCATTACCTTTGTCTGTTGACCCCTACTATTTATGTGTTGTTGTTGTTTGTTGAAAGCATTAATTAGCCAATAAGTGAGCTTTATCCGGTGATCCACTATTTATGTTGTTATTGTTTTGTTGTGAAAGCAATGTACTATCATAAATTCTTTCAAACTCCGGCGGCAGCTTTGGCTGCTGAAAGCAGTAGCTTGTGGTGAGGCACTTAATTAGTTGATAAGTGGACCTAATAGACTTGTTGTTTGGTACGTATGAACAAGTCCTAGTTTTTCAAATGGAAGATCTTTATGAACCATTTGTTCGTTGCTGTTTTTTTATAATGTTATTAACGGTTACATTCTCTACATGCCCTGACTTTTGATGAGATAATTGAAAATGACTTCTTACAGGGGGAAAAAAGAAGAAGAAGGAAAGTAACAAAATTTGCTTTGATAATTTGCCAAAGAAGTTATTCATTTGATCATACTCCTTCCGTTCCTTATTATAAGAGACATTTGATACTTATAGCATGTTCCCATATATAAGAGACACTTTAAAAGTTGTCTCTATTTTTTTGTATTGATTTCTTATTTTATCCCTATTTATTTTGTCTCCAACTCATACTCTCTCTCCCTCCCACTTTCTTTCTTTTAATAATTTAATTGTTCTCTATCATACTCTCTTTCTTTATTAATGGGTATTGTTGGAAAAAACATTATATTTTTACATATTAATTGTCCTCAATTAATTTTAACTGTTTTTTTATAACGTAATTTGATTATTTGTCTCATATAATAAGGAATGGAGGAATTAGTAAATATATTACCCATTATTATGTATTATAGTTACATTTATTCAATTGTGACAGTTGGAAAAAAATTATTAATTTTGATAATATAAAATCGTAATTAAACATTTCACAAAATAAGAAACAAATAAAAAAAAGAGAGTAAACTTATATAAAAATATTTTCCCTCCCTTGCGAATAACATTAAAACCTCTCCCCTTCGTTTTCTTTAATTAAAACCCCTTCCATCCCTTTCTTCCATCTTATCTCTATTAAAATCTCTCCTTTCTTTTCTTTAAGTGAACAGGATGAGATTTTTGTCTTATGTCTTGTTTTCTTTTAAAAAAAAACTATAATTTTTTGTATAAATTTTTTATGTCATAATGTTTAGTTTTTATTGGGTTTCTAAGGATAAAAATTTTGTTAAAAAATATTATGTAAAAAGTTTAATTATATATTATATAGTGTAAAAAATGTATAAAAACAATACTGTAAAAGAAATTATAAAAGAAATATTATATAATTATTTTATAAATTATTTTATTGAGAAAAAAGCTTTTTTAAGATAACATGACAAATTGAGAGCTGAAAATTATTATAAAATAAAAATAATTATTATTAATAAGTGAATTAAATAATTAAATATATTATTAATAAATAAGTTTTTTTAAAAAAAAACTTCCGTCTTGTAGTTTTCTTATTTTGAAATTATTTTTGTCTCGTCCCGTCCTGAATTGATCAGGACTGGGACGGGACAATCAGAATAGGATAAGTTAAAACCCTTACTCAGTTAAACGCATACTAGTAATTCTATTAAATAATTTACAATTTTGAGACTCAATAATAAATATTTTTTTTCTCCGTGTTGGAGTACTTATCACCTATCGAGCGTCATTTGTTTTTGCGCTATTGTTTAGTTTGCATTTGCTAGTTCTGCTGTGCCCCGCCGTCTGTTCCTCCTGTCCCAGCTCCAACCTTTTCCCACTGTTGCCTTGCTTGCCTTCACCGTCGTCCACACTTCTCCAGGTTTCATCATCGTCCCTTTTGTGCTTCAGTGTTTTCCTATTCACCTGCCCTCACGTTTCTTGTATGCTGTTTTTTTTCTTTTACTTTTTTGCCCCCTAAAATCTGCTTCTTGTGCTTTTCTTTTTTTATCTACAGATTTTTCTTCTTCAAATATGTTTCAAATCTGCTTCTTTTTATGTGCGCGGGCTTCTTTTAATTAGATTTCTGCTCCATCCATGCTATGTTTTGCTTGAAATATGCTTTTTTTTGTTCTTTTGGGTTTCCTGGTGCAGTATCTCATTGACGTAAAAATCTAATATAGAAAGGTGGCTTTGAATTAGCTCAAAGATTGGCCGAATATTTCTTACTGAATATTGAGTCGAGGAGAAACAGGTATTCAAGAATGTGCTATTGTTTTTGCTCGTATTTATGATGGAACGTCTTGCTCTTTAATGTGTTGGCTTTGGAAATTATTTGAAGCACTGAGTGCATGGATTTTCTGATTATGGGCTTATACTTGACAATTATAGCGGTCTTGAGCTTAGACTTTCTTGACAAAACGTAGATACTTTACCTCAGACATTATAAAAAGCATGAGAATCCAGCATGAAATGAAACCAACTTTGACTTAACTTTTTGCTGTTACATCTGGGGAAGTAAATACTATAAAATTTAAATGTTAAACTTGATGAACAGTATCAATGTTAGTGCTAGTGAAGCATGGAAGATAATCAATATTTTAGAACATTAGTGTTGTATTTATTATTCACATGTATGTCTTCAGGTACGAAGAAGACCATGACCTTGCATCGATGAGCCAAATAGTGTATACTGAGCTTGTGATATTAATACAGTTTCTCAAGGAAAGCTCAGCAATAATATATTAGCTTACCCAGCAATTGTGTTATCAAAATGGACCAACAAGTTCTCGTGGATGAAAACTTTCCACTCTTCTCCAAGTCTCATAAATCCTCAAAAGACCACGTGCCAGCTGCCTCATCTGCTACAGCCTCCACCGCTGTTGCCACCAAAGACATTAACTTTGATAGCCAACACCTTGGAAAGTCAGATGACACAGATCTTGATTTCAATCCTACAACTTTTGGGGAGCTTGGACTTGCAGAATGGGCTGTGAAGACTTGCAAAGAGCTTGCAATGTGCAAGCCTCGACAGGTCCAGTTACATTGCATCCCAAAGGTTCTAGATGGCTGCCATGTGCTTGGCATGATGAGACAGAAGTGGGAAGACTGCAGCATTTGCTAACCAATTCTTCACCGATTGGGTGAGCATCCTTTGGGGTTTTTGCTTTGGTTTTGACGCCAACTAGGGAGTTGGCATATCAACTAGCAGAGCAATTTAGGGCATGGGTTCATGCTTGCACGTGCGGATAGCTGTGGTGGTTGGAGGGATGGATATGTTGCAACAAGCCAAGACTTTAACATCCAGGCCACACGTTGTGATTGCCACACCGGGAAGGATCAAGGTTTTGCTTGAGGATAATCCTGATATTCCTCCAGTGTTTTCTAGAACTAAGGTGATAATGATTTTTCCCCTGTTGTTGAGTTTCAAGCTTTGTTCTTGCTACTATGTCTTCATGGTCATTTCAGTGCCACTCTAATAAATGTTGTTTTATTGATGGTTGGAGAGAAAATTGGAGAGAAATGGAAAAATGTAGTGAGTAAGGACTAACCTTCGTGAGTCTCTTAATTGTAAGGACACAATATAACATATTTTTGATTAGTAGTTACAAAAAAACTTCCCTTAATATTTATAGTAAATTACAAACCAGTCCTAATCATTTAGAATCAAATCCGAATCAATCATAATCAGGTCATATCATGATCAACACTATCTCAAGCTAGAGTGTACGGGTCATATGTGGAACTTTGGGGAGTAATTAATTGCCCCACTTATATTTGGACGAAATGTGGTGAAAAAGTGACTAGTTTCACAATGGCACTAACGCCATATGGAATATATCTGGGCCGTATACTTTTTCTCCTTTGGGTTTTCTCCAAAATTTTCTCTGCTTTTGAAGAGAAAACTTTGGGGAGAAAACATGTGGATCCCTTGTAATTTTGTGTGTTCTTCCTTTCTTCTTTATTTTCCCTGTATATAAACAGGAGAATATATTTTACCTCATGTTTCCTTCTCTATTTTTGCATCACCCACTACGTATTTCCATCCAAACATAGGGTTAGTGTGTCCTACAGTAGGTTTGAGAAGTGACAACTGGGAACTTACATGAACTGATAAAAGCTGAAGTTTCATATGTTTTATCTAATTACTTTTTTACTGAAGTTTTCAACTTGTGCCTCTCCAGTTCCTTGTCTTGGATGAAGCAGATCGAGTTCTTGATGTTGGCTTTCAGGAGGATTTGAAATTGATCTTCAATGTTTACCAGAAAGTCGGCAAAAACCTTTTTTTTTCTGCAACTACAACAAGTATAATCTACAGAAGCTGCGTGAGCGTTACCAAGACAAACTCTATGTCTATGAGGCCTATGAAGGCCTGAAAAACAGTTGAGACGCTTGAGCAAACAAATTATATTTGTCCCCAACAAAGTGAAGGAGGTTTATTTAATGCATTTATTGTCCCAAATGGAAGATATGGGCATTCGCTCTGCCATGGTTTTTTTCTCTACATGCAGGTATTATTTCTAAATGAAATGCTGCTTGAATTTTTGACACTTTTCTTATGGCATTGTGCTTTGTAATTGCCCTTTTTGAGTTCATAATCATGTGATAAAGGCTGTACATCTCGATTAGCTATAACTATTCTGTTTTATCGTTAAAAAATTGCAGAGATTGCCATCGATTAAGTTTAATGCTAGAAGTACTTGACCAAGAAGCTGCAGCTCTCTATTCATTCAAATCCCAGACTCAGAGACTTGAAGCACTGAATCAATTTAAATCAGGAAAGGTTTCTATACTGCTTGCAACTGATGTTGCCAGCCGAGGATTGGACATTCCTACGGTTGATCTAGTCATCAATTATGATGTCCCAAGGTAACCTTTCTTGCTCAATTTCAATTTTTGTTGGCTACTTAACGCTTGATAGCACTGATCTTAAAGATGCACTGCAGGTTTCCAAGGGATTATGTCCATCGTGTTGGTCGGACAGCAAGAGCAGGTAGAGGAGGACTGGCAATGAGTATTGTTACCCAGGTAAAACAAAGTTAGAAGCAATATTAAAACTTGCTTTTCTCTTTCTTCTGCTTGTGGTGCAACATTTTTGGGTACTGTATTCATGATTTATCACATTTAAATGTCTATTCTGTTTGCATCATTACATACATGTTTCGGTGCAATCCACTTCTCCCCCCCCCCCCCCCCAAAAAAAAAAAGCAACAACAACAATAACTATGGTAATGTGCAATGTAGATGGTTTGGTGCTAGGATGGGAGAAAGAGCCAAAACTTTTGTGGACAAATCTTGCCACTGCATATTTTATGACATAATGTGCTTTGTTTTGCTTCTGCTCAGCTAGTGGTTTGTATAGACCGGTTTCAACGGCAGATGCAGGCGTTGGTTGGCAATCTTATCTTTAGTTTTTTTCTTTCTTCTCTGGAGAAGAGGGCCCCAGGGGGATTGTTGGGAAAAAATAGAGCTTAAAATGTATAACATACCATTGTTCTACATCACTGACAAATAGTTCAAAATATGCATCAGGAAAATTTGGATTGATGGAAGAGCTTATTTCTGTAATTTTTTTTGGGCACATAACATTTGGTTACACTTTCGGTAGTTATAAAACATCACTTTCAGCCCTCAAGCTTGACATAGTTCTTGGATCATCATATGATTTAGTGGTTAGATCAAAAAAATCAGTTATGGTTGTCCAAAAATGAAGTAGGGGGAACAAATATTACCTATTTTGATCCTTCTATTCTTTTGCTATAATGTACATATGTTCTCTGCTATTTCACAAATGCTCAATTTATTTGTGGATTTCGTACTCTTTTAAAGATAGCTTGTAAAGTAATTCAAATTATATTTTTACACTTACTGTTAATGGAGGTATTTTTTGAGTCTTATCTTTGCATCTGATTTTTTTTTCCTTGGCATTTACAGAATGACATTCATCATTCATGAAGTAGAAGCTCTTCTTGAAAGGCAACTGGAGTTGGTTGAATACAAGGAGAATGAGGTGCTTTCTCTGATGAAAAAGGTATGGTACCTTCGGGTTTATTTTTTGTTCTGGTGATTGAATATCTAATGATTGCTTGAAAGTTCCATTTTCATATTTGAGGTTGTCGCTCTCCTTGATGAGTTATTTGAATTTAGACCAGACTGGGCGGTTCACCCACTAACCTGGTGAACAACCTGACCATTCTGTAGTTGAGAGAGTCAAACGAGTGGACATGTAATTGACTAAGTCAAAAAAATATATGGTTTTTTTTATTTTTATTAATATCTACTAAACATATTAATATCCTTGTTATTTTAACTGCTTTCATTTTTATAAGAATAGTTACTGAGTTCGATGAGATAAATCTAAAGCCTTTGTCTCGGCTACTGTAATGGAAAGCCCTTTGGCTACTGTGAGGTGAATGATGATGGTTAATATGTATAATTACAACACTCATTTGTGGCTTTTGTTTAGTTGATTTTGTTTTCTTTGATGTTTTGCAGGTTTTCAGTGCTAAAAATGTTGCCGAAATGAAAATGTTGGATGATGGCTTTGAGGAGAAAGCAGAAGAAGAGCGGAAAAAGCAGAAACTGAAAATGCTAGCAGAAAAAGGATTATTAAGGAAAAGGAGCAAAAGAGGAAAAGAAACAAAGGCATGAAGGACGAAGGGAAAAAAAGTAGAGGCAGTGGAAGCATTACCAGATAAAAAAGGATCACTGATAACAAGAGCAAGAAGAAGCTTGGGTAGGAGGAAAATACTGGATGCTGAAAAAGAGCAGAAGCAGAAACTGAGAATGCACCGTTCAACGTGACTTGAGGAAATTATAGGGGTTTTTTTATCGAACGACAGATATATTATTGGGGTTTTAAGAGGTGAACTTGGTATGACAATCATAGGGTAAAGTCGTGCAAAGTTCGCTGTGCAAAAAATTTTGTAGAATCATTTTTCAAAGTAGGTTATTAGAGTTCATTATCAGGCTCCCTTTGTCATTAAAAGAAGGAATTTTTCATGAAAATTGATTGTAAAAAAATAATTTGAACTTACAGTTAATTAGGCTTCTTCATATTTAACTGCATTGAATTTTCAGGAGTTGCTATGGTCAGAAAATGCATATGTGAAGGATTATCGTAATGTGCGATGCTAGTAAACACCTGAACTTCCCTAGAGCTACCCATTCATATACATAATTTCCAGTCTTCGATCTCTTTTGCTTGATTTCCGAACAATTTCTGGCAACGGTGGTGATCGCATGAAATTGATGGACAACCGTTGAGTTGTTGCGGACGGTGGTGGCCGTGCCTCATGTGCTCGGGCCTTTTTTTTTTTTTTTTTTTTTAAAAAAAAAAATAATTAACGTGTATTCTGGTCTTTTCAAATATAAATACATTAAATGCAATTTTCATCACACTTCCATTGACATTCCAAACACTTTAAAATCTCAGTTAGGCTCTGATTGGTTGAAAGGTTGTTGAGAGAGAAGGAGGAGAGGGGATAAGATAAATATGTTTGGTTGGGAAAAATAAAAGGGAGAAGGAACAAATGTCTTTTAGTGCTCCCCTCTTCTCTTTATGCTCCTCTCCAAATTTGAAATTTTTTGGAAGGGGGAGAAATATTATGTTTTAATATTGAGTAAACTACCTATACTAACCTTTCAATAGTCTAAGTTTGTCCCTCTTATTAGAAATCTTTTTTCATCATTTTCTTTTCAGCCACTTATAATATTTTGTTAATGATAATATAATATTATAATTATATAATATATACATCTCTTTAACATGTGTATATTATAAATGTATATCATAGCATGTATATTATATCTCACATAGGTCTAAACATGCATATATATTAATATACATATCATAACGTGTGTATTTAATTATATAATATATTAATATGTATCAATTCATATAAATACAAAATTAATGAGATAGAATGTTAAACTTTTTATCATATTTCCTAATTTTTTTTAGTTTATTCTAATTTTTTTAAATCACATGTAAGTGAGGTATTGGTTTTTTTGAAATTGATAAGTTAAAAAATAATAATTTTGATATAAATATTATAATAAAAGAATAAAACAGTCTAAATATAAAAATAAGAACATATTTGTCAATTTATAATTACTTCCCCTCCTCTTCTCTTATAAACCAAACAAGAAATCTCTCTTCTCTTTCCCTCCCTCTAACAAACAAAAAACCTATGACCTCCCTTCCCCTCCTCTCCTTCCTTGAATTAACCTCCCCTCCCCTTCCTTCTATTGAACCAAACAAAACCTTAGCCATTTCCATTTCCACTTACTTCATAAACTCTTCATTCTCTGTATCTAATCTGGGTTTTTAATCACTCAATTGTTCTCAATTTGGTATCTCCTAAAGTACCATGTATTTTGTCCCCCAAAATACGGTAGTCATTTTCTTTAATATCACTTGCCGTTTAAGCAAAATGAACATTAGCACTTGGAGCACCTGCAGAGGAAAATAAACATACAACGTCATGGATTATGATAAAAGGAGGCTAGAAGGTCATCTCCTGTCACTACGATGTCTCCTATGCCGATCAGCGTCAAACTTCCACATCTTTTCTTCTGTGGCCACGTTCTTCCCTTCGACGTCTATAATCTTCTTCGTCATCTGCATTCCTTTTCTTTGTCTGGACTCGTTCTTCGCATCTTGCCTGCCTCGGTCTTCCAGTTTCGCCCTATGATCTCTGTCATCCTTTCTCCTCCTGTCTTCATGGTCATCTTCACCTGAACCCCTTCCTTCTCTTCTCACTATCTCTGTTGTACTCCTTGTCCTTGTCATCCCTTCTCTCGACATGGCCAGTATCCATTTTTCGCCTATGATCTCCACCAGCCCGTCTCTCTGTATGGCGATCATCCTCATATCTCCTCCTAGAGTCTCGATCATCTTTCCGACCATAACCATCATCATCTCTATGTCTATCTATATACTTTCCCCATCTTCCTCTCTGCACGGGAATCCACATCTCTTGCACCTCTTTCATATCTTCCTTGTTTCTATCACCATATCTATCTCTGCTGCCTGAGCCTACCATCTCTTGATCCCTGTGACCCATATGCATACTTTTTCTCTCAACTGGCTCATCCTTGTCGTGCCTTCTGTGTCCCTTTCCTTGCGTTGGACTCTTTCACCATCTCCATCAAAAACCATTTCATACCTGCACCATGAAGCAACAGTCACGCATTTGAATACACAAACAGAGACCAGCACAACCAATAGTGAGTCAAACCTGCATCCATCACACCACCACGTTGAGCATTGGTCGTCCTTCAAGATGTATTTTGCCGTTGGTTATTCTTACCATCCTCAGTGCAATCTTTGGCAATATGGTTTGTAGAACCACATTTGAAGCAGCCATTACCTACAGCCACATGATTTCATGTCAAGATTATGATAAGAATATTTATATCCAAATACGCATAGTGAAATACCAACCCAAAAAAAAAAAAAGAAAAAAACTAAAGACATTCAGCATAACACCTTGAGAACGGCCAGATTATACACAATAATATTTCTTATCCTTACCTTTACCAAGTTTGATCTTTGCGCCTATATTGTGACCATAGTTTGGCCACACTCTGACTGAAATCCACATGTATCCTTCGATCATCAATCAAAGCATTATCCATCTGCAGTTTTGGGGGGAGAAGAAAACAAGGATAGGAAATAACATTTTGTTTGGTGAAAAGAAAAATCATAGAAATACATCATCATTAAAGACACGTCTTGAAAGCAAATTGATCATGATGCCCCCCCCCCCCCCCCCCCCCAAAGGCAAAAAAAAAAAAAAAAAAAAAACACACACACACACAAAAAACCAAAGAAAATTATTTAACAAATAATACACAATTAAAATAAGGACCTATACCCCGATACCGTAAAATTGCAATTCCGGTGTGATGGATACCTATCTGTTGAAACTTTTTCTACACAACTCGGTTTCCCGGAAACCTAGTAATGCTTTAATTTCCCACCCCCCCCCCCCCCCAAAAAAAAAAAAAAGAAAAAAAAACAAACAAAAAAAAACTAAAGGCGGAGCTTTGTTTCATGGAAACCCAGTTGTGCAAGTAAAAATAAAAAGTACAATAGATGTAAGTATCTATCACACTGATTTGCGGGTTTATAAGTATCTGGAATCTGGATGATAGTTTTGATAGCATGGTAAATTGGTATATAATTTCTGTGTCACATTCTCGAAAATTTGCCCATCTTAAAATCAGGATAGGTAAAAACAAAAAACAAAACTACCAGTCCAGTAAAAATCTAAAAGCACAATTCAAATTCAGATAGAATATCACTGAAAGCTAAGACAACCATGCAGAAAAAAGCATTGCAAAAATGATTTTTCTTCAAAAAAGAATAAAATGCAAGATGCCATGTGAGAGAGAACCTTGAGCAAATTCATAGACTATGTAGAATCTAACTAAGCCAACCAAGTAAATAGACAAAAAGCCAATATAGCCAACCGCAATATCAAAACATTAAATGCCATGGAGCAAAACACTGGTCATTAATTTACAGAAACATAGAAGAAAGACATCTTAATACAAACCTTAAAATATGCTTGTTCACATGCCTGCTTGTCCTCAAACTCTGCCGTCATAAGAAGTAAGTAAGATGTTGCTTGATTATATTAAAGTAATCACTAATTCTCCATTTATCTACAATCAGAGTAGATTTGTGCAGTTTAAACTAAATAATAGAGTGCCCTAGCAAAAACGATTTTGAATGCAATGTGAGCATATCTAATGGAAAATAAGTAAGAATCTTGGCAGCTAAGACGTACAATAATTCATTTACAAGTAAGGTTTTTGTTTGCTCATTAGAAGTGTCTGTCAAATAACCATGAAGCTCTTTCTTAGATTACCAACGACAAAAAAAACAAAATCTGGGAAAGCATCACAATGGACTTCCTTGAAGGCCTTCCTAAATCTGGAGAGAAGGACACCATATGAGGTATCATTGATAGAATGAGCAAATATGCTCATTTCTTGCCATTTTTCTCGCCCAACAAAGCTGCCACCCTTGCACAGCACTTAATGGATCACATTTATAAACTACATGGTGCACCAACTGAGATTATAAGTAATAGAGACCTTGTGTTCATTAGCAACTTGGAAGGAATTTTAAGGGATTTAGTCAATTAGAAGCTATCTTCAGCCTATCACCCATGGACCAATGGACAATCCAAATGGTGCTTGGAGACATACCTAAGGTGTATGTGTAGGGAGACACCTAAAGATGGAGTAAATGGCTTTCACATGCCAACTGGTGATACAACACTACTTTCCACACAGCAACAGAAGCAACTCCTTATGAGCTATTGTAGGCAAAAGCCTCCACCACATGCTCCTTATTTACCAAAAGAAGCTATTGTTGAGGCTGTAAATAGAAGTTTCTCAGCAAGGGAAGTAATCTTACAAAAAGCTGATGCAAAGGGAACTGATAGATATTTTGAAGTAGGTTAGTGAGAGTTTTTGAAATTTATATACAAATTTCTGCTGCTACAAGAAGCTCACAGAAACTTGCACCAAGGTCTTTAAGGCTCTATGGAGTTAAGGAAAAGGTTGTTCCAGTAGGTTCTAAGCTGGAACTTCCTCAAGAATCAAGGATAAATCCTGTTTTTGATGTATCCCTCCTTAAACTTTGTCCATATCCATCAGTTAAGCAACAGCATCAACCTACTGCGTGGCTGACACACACGTGACAAGAAACTATTCTGAATAAAAGGGTTGGGAGAAGCAAAGGAAGGATCATAACAGAGGTTCTGGTGGAATGGAACAGCTTACCAGATGAAGAGGCTACAAGGGTTCCCTTATATCAGTTTCAGCAACAGGTTCTAAACCCTTGAGGACAAGGGTGGTTTTTTGGGGGAGGGAGTATTGTTATGTAAAGACGAGTGAATCTAGGAATTAGCTATGTCAGTTATAAGTTAATTATGTTCAATTGTGTGCCAGTGACCATTAGCCTAGGTTAAAACATAAATAAGGGGGAGGACTCATGATACAAGTTATGTGTTGCCTATAGACAGATTAATCAGACTTGAATTCTTCTTCTAACCTTCTCTGATTCTCTCTCAATCTCCTA